GGGGGGGCCTGTGGAAGGCTGCCTCTTCCCCCTTCACAACCTCCTATTTATAGTTGTGGTGAAATGGCAATTCTGTTTGCTAAGATGATGATTTCATGGATCATGAATGTGAGTCTCTTGCGTTGCAAAGTGAGCCAAAGCAGTTACAAAGAAAAACAATAAAAACACTGAAAAGACAGAACACAAAAGCTATAGCCAGTGTTGAAGAAGAAACATCTCTTATAGCAGCAATGCGTGGTGGACATCAAGAGGAATGCCTGCTAACATTTGAATGCTGAAATTCTGAATACTTGATTTTTAGTCAAGTTGCTGGCATCTGGTATGTTATTAAGTAACTCAGTAGAGAACTGTTAAATGCATAACCTCACTGCACAAAGGATACATTCTTTTACCAGATTTCTTCCTTTAACCCTCTGCTCCCACTTGCGGCTTGAGTTTTCTGGAATTACCAAGGATTTTGCAAAAATTGGTGGAAATATCTGAACGTGTTTAGTCCCCAGCATCTTCACAGATTTAATGCATAGACTTCATTGTTTTTTGTCTAAAACGTTACTTTTTCAAATTCCACTGTATTTTCACCTGTTTTAAGAAGCATCTAGTGGCATAAGAATTCAGCTGTGTTGCTATTCTCAGCATTGACACCCTGTACTTATCCCAACACCTATTCCTTCCTCTCTTATTTGTATGTTACAAAGAATATAGAAGTGATTACGAGTGGATATAAGATTTTGAAAAGGGGGTCCAGACGGTATGACATATCATTGCGTATAACACAATGCATTTTTATCCAGTTAAAGAGAAACTAAAAGGTTTTTTAATGTGCTGGGGAAGGGGAGGGGGGAGCACTACATGATTTAGTTTAAGATCAGAGCAAAAATAAATATAACAATTGGAAAATGCACTATTTGGCTAGATTATATAATAACTTTTGCAAAACACAACAATTCGGTAATTTGAATCACTGTCCCAATTTGATTCGGCCAAATCCGATTCAGAGACTTGGTTGCTGCTGAATCTCTGAATCAGCCAGGCCCATCCTTCGCTCCTCTCCCAGCCCAGCAATAGCTGTCCAGCTCCTGGCACTTGTTAAAAAAAAGCCCCGGCTCACCAGGTGCTGCCAGACCTGGAGGGTAGATTCCTGCTGCCCCCCACCCCCCCTCACTCTCCCAGTCCCTCCACGGGTTTCCGGCCTGGGCCAGCTCCAGCCCTTTAAGAACCACCCCCCCAGACTCACTGCTCCTGCTGGTGAGGGGTGATCGCTGCTGCCCCCATTGCCCCATGCCATGTGGGGGGCTCTGCACAAGCCCCCCAAATCCTCAAAACACTGCAGAAGTGGTGAGTCCCAGGGCCCCATGCACTGTGGGACATTGGGGGAAGCAGGGATTGACTCCCCCCCCACCTGGTAGCACCCGGTGAGCATCATGGCTTTTTTTTTTGAAGTACTGAGCAGGGGCAAGTGGAGGCAGCCATGGGAGGGGGTGGCTGGCAGGGATCCCCCACATAGTCCCCTCTCCCCTCCCCTGCCCCTAGTACTTACTAGCTCGGAGTCAGCTGCAGCTCTGTGTTGCAGCCACTGGGGACTGCCCAAAGCACCAAAGATCTCTGAAGATTCTGAGAGATTCTGAAGATTCGGAGAGCTTTGAATCGATTCGGACCTTTAAATTGGTCCCCTGATTTGATTTAGAGTTGGAGATATGGCCACTGAATCGGGCTGAATCTCCTCCAAATCAAATCACCACCTGAAGCTTTGTGCAACCCTACTGTTAATGTTACCGTGTCTGAGTTAACGTTTTTAGCTGGAGCTGAAAACAGCTTGCAGGGCTGTGATATAGAAGAGAGACATTACTAGGAATAGCTAACAGACAGCAACACTACAGTAGAGGGGATAGTTTGAATAGTGGAACTTCAAGACCATTAAAAATGATAGAGGGGTGTTAACACCTATATAGTGGAGAGAGATTAACAGAAATCAGGAATAATGAGCCATGAAGTCAAATGACTCCCTCAGTGTTGCCTGAATAGAAATGTGACTGCTCCTTCCAGGGAATTAGTTTTAAAGTTTGGGTGAAGCAGGAATCAAAGGGCAGGGGGTGCAACTGTACCACTGCACCCCTCCTGGATCTACCCCGGAAGCTATTCATTTTTCCTCATTAGTACCAGCAGCACTGAAAAAAACACCCAGTCAGTGGTGAATACCCAAGGTGTTACCATTGCAACAAGCTCAAGGCAGACTTGAGCCCTGGATGACAGCTCACTTAGGGTGGCCATCATAGAGGACATTCTAGTTTTCTGCTATTCTGTCTTGTATTGATATGAAACCCAAGGGCTTTATGTCCTTACCAAGCCCTACAAAACCGAATGTCTTGCGTTCTCTTCAAGAGAAAAATAGAGGACATAAAGGCGTCAGGTTTGTATCAATAGAGGGCAGAGGAAAACCGGACTGTCCTCTATGATGGCCACCCTAAGCTCATTGCTAGAACCCCTGTCCTAAGCTGTATCATGTGTCAGGTACTTTAACTAAATTAAGGAACCATAATGACTACATTCATAACAAATAGAATCTAAGAGAATCTTACATAAATGGGCAGGTAGAGTTCAACTGGTTCACACACTCAAAGACCCCTAACCACCCCCTCTAACCTGTGTAAACATCAGCCCCTTTCCATAACAGCTTAACTCATCCTCTCTGTCCAACAAAATCTTTTTTTTCACTTTAGTGAACCTACTTTGTGGGCAAACAGCATCAAAAAGTGTCATGGAGACACCCACAATCTGGTCACTGGCATCAATTAGACCTTGTGATCATCAGAAAAAAAGACCCGCCCAGGGTCCTACACACCCACATTGATCATAGTGCAGATTGTGACACAGACCACTCCCTAATTGACAGCAAAGTGAAGTGATACCAAAGAAGCTGTACAGAGCCAAGCATAAGAGTCAGCCAAGAATTAGCACACACAGCACAAAAGACCAAAGCAAGCACCTCAACTTTCAAAGGACCTTTGAGTTATCTATATGTCTATGACAGCAACATCTGCATATGCTGAAGGAACTTAGAGTGTACTAAGAGCAGTCATCTAGGAAACAGCCACAGAAGTGCTTGGGAAAAAGAAATTGTCAGTCTGGTTTGAGGCACACTCAGAAGAGATGCTATCACTTGTTGAAGATAAGAACACAGCCTACCTGAAACAACCAGAATCCAACAGAAAGTTCCAAGGCTCAACTGAAGCATGCCAGAGCAATGGTACAGAAAACAGTCAGACACTATGCAAACCAGTACTGGACTGCCCTATGTCAAGAGAAACAGTTTGCTGCAGGCAGAGGAAACCTACAAGTTATGTATGACAGCCTGAAGAAAGCTCTTGGCCCAACTGTCACTCAAGTCACCTTCCTCAAGTCTCAGGATGGCAAAGTAAAAATCACTGACAAGACCAAGCAGATGGCATGCTGGGTTGAACATTATTTAGAGCCTGACTTCCAGGAAACAGACATCTCAGCAATGGCACTGGATCAACTTCTAACTCTAAGGCTACAGACAGGCATTACCCATAAACTGGTTTAAGTGACCAGAAACTGATTTAAACCTGTAACAGAACAGATGTTCAGTGCACATAAACCAGTTTCAAAATGGCTGAAAACAGTTTGAGATAAACGTGGTTGAATGCAGCATCAGACTTAACTGATTTGGGTCAAACTGGTTTATGCAATGTCTGTCCCAGACCCCTTGATGATTTAAATTAAATCAGACTCCTCCAGCATCCTGGAATGCTCTCTGGGCTGAGTGGGGCTCTCTGCTCCACAGGAGAGCTGGTCCCCCTCCTCTGCTCCCTGGCTGGAGCTCAGCAGAGACTGCAGGTGTCTACCTGGCTTCCCCCTGCTCCTCCCCCCCTCCTCTCCCCATCCCCTCTGCCTTACACAGACCTCTCAGCATTAACTAGCATGTGCTGGCTATGGTCCATCCTGTGGTAGATGGGACAAAGGCAGAATCAACAGGTAGCTGGTAATGTCCCTCTATTGTTTTCTTAATGGGGTGATAAACATTGAGTTAGGCATGATAAACACTGTTATCAATTCCCTGCTGGGCTGGTCAGGAGGTGGGGGGCCCCTCCCTAATCAGAGTGTCTTGCCAGAGCCTGGCTACACCCCCTCAGCTCAGCACTATAGAAGGGGTAGGAGGGCTCCTCTAGTGCCTCCCAGCTTCGAGCCTGACCCACTATAAGCATGTGCTGGCATTTCTGACATATCTGTACAGTTACAAACTGATTTAGCCTAGCTAGGTTAGACTAACCTGCAAAGACTGAATCAATTCAGGCTCAGGCTTTTTGAATGTCTGTCCCTAACTTAAGTGTACTGGCACAGCTAGACAAAGAACATACAGCCAAAAAATTTAGCATGGCCATAGACTCTCTAGAAAGTGGAAAAGCCCCAGGGGAAGATGACATCCCAGCTGAGGTTCTCAAGTGCTGGAAGGGTAGCTTGCTACCACATCTTCATCGACTCCTAGTATGCTGCTGGAATGAAGGTCAAGTACCCCAGGACATGTGTGATGCTAACATCATCACACTCTACAAGAACAAGGGAGACAAGGGTGACTGCAACAAATATAGGAGCCTCTCTCTCCTCAGCGTTACAGGCAAGGCTTTTGTCAGAGTCATCTTGAAATGCTTGCAACAACTTGTTGACCACATATACCTGGAATCACTTATTAGGGAGCTCCTTTTTGCTGATGATACTGCACTCTCCGCCCATGAAGTAAGCCGACTACAAATACTCATAAATCACTTCTCCCATGCTTGCAGGATGTTTGCCCTGACCATCAGGATCAAGAAGACTGTGATCCTAGGGCAGGGTGTTCACCAGTCACCATCTATCAGCCCTAGCAACATACCACTCAAGGCAGGGAACAAGTTCTTCTACCTTGGATCCACAGTGAACGACAACCTCACTGGATGAAGATCTAAAGGTGTGCATTAGAAATGCATTTACCACTTTCAGTAGGCTCTTCAAACAAGTCTGGAACAATGCAAAACTCACAATCAAATCTAAGCTGCTTGTGTACAAAGCCTGCATCCTCAGTGTCCTTATGTATAGCAGTGAGACGTGGTCAACATATGCATATCAGGGAAAGAAGCTGAACAGCTTCCACCTACGCTATTTATGGCGCATCCTTGACATCAAGTGGCAAGACAGAATCACCAGCACAGAGATTATTGCCAAAGCCAACCTGCCAACCATCTGCACTATTCAAACAGTGGCATATATGCTGGCTTAGCCATCTTTCTAGGATGGAAGATGGGTGCATCCTGAAGGACATCCTGTATGGGCATGATGGGGAGAGAAGAGTAGGGTGTCCAAAACTTCGCTTCAAAGACATCTACAAGAAGGACAGGAAGGTTTTTGTAATTGACCTAAACCCTTGGGAGACCTTAGCAGGAGACAAGACAAAGCGACATTCCCTTCTCAAATCATGGAGTCCAACATCATGGCGAGAAATGGTCACTCAAATTACAACAGAAACATGACCGAAGGAAACAGCCTGTCAGTACAGTAGCCCCTAATAGCATGTTCACCTGTAACCACCGTGGCAGGACCTGCAAGTTTAATATCAGTTTTAATAGTCACAAGAGAAAATGCACCACTAGTCAATAGAATAGCTGCAATATCTATCATCACTTGGTGATCAACCAATGCCATAACTAGTTGTATTTATTTAAGAAGTCACAATCTACCCCATTTTGTGCTTTTGAAAGTTATTTCTATAGCTATTTAAAGATTCAGATGATCAGAAAGAAGACAAAAAATTGTACTACGAGCACAGTGGCAAAAGTGCTCTAATGTTTGGGCTTTACTCTAAGCCCCCCCTTTAGGTTGGGAGGAAGCAGAACACACATTAGCCCTAATGGGAGGGAGGTGGGGGGCTTGGAGCCTGCCTACACAGCCCAAGCACAGTGGGTGGTGGCGGGGAGCTCTTGCACACCTCCCAGCATTCCCTGTGGGCTCTCCAGGTTGCCGAAGACTCCCAAGTGGAGCTGAACAATGGGACCCCCACACCGAGGCATGTGGAGCCCCTGCTTTGAGTGACACCACAGAGCAGCTGGCTGGGCCACAGCGTGCCTCGAGATGGGGAGCAGGCTGCATGGAGACAGGCATGCAGAGGCACACAGAGGCCCAAAGCTGCCTGCTCCCCCATCTCAGGGGCACTGAGACCCAGTCAGTTGTTTTGCAGCTGGCTGGGGTGCAGTGTCCCTCAGTGCAGGGTCTCCACGTGCCTCTGCACAGTGGAGCCCCGGTGCTGCTAGGGAGCAGTTGGCTGGGGTGCAGGGTGCCTCAGTCTGGGGGCTCCCAGCATGTGAAGGTGGGAAAGCAGGCAACTCTGGGCTTCCAGCTCCCCCGCCTCTGCATTTGCCATGGCACTTGCCACTTTGGCGTGGGCCGTGCTGCTTTTTTTCCAGAATTATTTTTTTTGCTACTGGGAAATCCCAGTAGCATATTTTGCCCCAGTGCTGCAAATTAGCAGCACCGTGCACTGATTAACGTGAAACTCGTGCAGCCTGCACATCTGGATCCAGCCCTTGTGTGTATTATCAAGGTCATATTGAATTAAAGTACCTACTACTTCCCTTTCCTCCCTAATTAGATGATCTACTTTCTGGATCATGACATTGTTCTGTAGGTTAAACCTCTTTGGTGATCCACGTTTGGATGTCTGCATATTTTAAGTCCCTCGAGTCTCAAACATGGGTCTAAAACATTTGTTCACTATTCATCAATTCAGTTAGTTTGAAGTTTGCATCCACTGCAGTTTCTCCTTTGCTTTTTATTCCTTCAATCACATTCAGTCTATGCAACTCTTAACACCATCTTCCAACCCTATCTTCTAAATAGAAGGCATTCATCAATATTCATATCAGTTCAGAGAATTATCCCCAAAACTTTGACTTGTGCCCATTCCTGGAGGGCATACATTATGTGCTTATTTTAATAATGCCTTTAGTTGATAGCTTTTAAGCAACTTATTATAAACAAAGCAATGATACTTGAGTTTCTTTACTCTTTTTCTTCTTTTCATTTTTTTCCATACATGATGAGACAGGAGTAATAATTATGCCAGCCCTCGGGGGTGAGCGTCTATTAACATTAAAGTGAATTATGACACGATCAGACTGCAAATGAAAACTAATAGGTGTTTTATAGAAATGGGGCCAAATTCAACTCTGGTGTAAATGGTTTCCGCTTTACAGAAGTCAGTAGAGTTGCACCACTGTTCCATTTGATCCTTCCTATCTAATGTAAACTTAAGAGTTAAGTATCATCATGCTTATGTTTTACATTGTTAAGATAATAAAGTTTAAACAACAGAATAATTGTTTGGTTTACATTTAAGGTATGCCTCTAATACTCTATGAAAGAATGGGAAAGAAACCACAAAGATGACTGGAATACACAGACCTAAAACACATGCAGGTTTCCTGACTCAAAGTATGCAGGGAAAAGAAAAAGAATTTGAAAACTTCAAGGGTCTAACCAAAGATCATGGAAGTGGATGGGAGTCTTTCCATTTTTCTTTCAATGAGATTTAGATCAGGCTCCTTTGGGGAGTTATAATTAAGTTTATTTCCATTGTAAATATACAATTTGATATGTCAAATTGTATGACTTTCATGAGAAAAGGGTAGATTATATGTGAAGTCACAGACCAACTGAATTTCACGTGAAAGAAAAATTATGCTGTTAGTATTACTAAAATCTAAAGGGAATTAGGTTTGACAATGAAAAAATTCACAACTCTTAGCTACAATTACTATGTTTATTTCTTTGTGTAGTAGCTGCCTGTTGCATACACTAATTGGGGTGTTTCCCCCTTAAAGTTTGACCCCTTTGCGGGTTTTCTGTATGCCTGTCTCAGGATTTTCAATTATGGTGTTAACTAACAAAAAGAAGTGTTTTTTAACACTGGATTAACTCCTTGGGAAGACAAGCCACCATAATTTGACCTCATAACCAATCAAGATAAAGCCCTGGATGTGTAACCATAACTAGGTTAAGAGCAAAAAACCACTTGTTCCATGTCTCCATTAGAGTTTTCCTTGAAATAGCTTTTTGATATAGGAGCACAAAAACATGAAACAAAGCATGAGTATACTGGAGCTTCCTTCTGAACAGGCATAAATTAGGAACAGTCTCTGCTCTGCTAAGTACTAGGCATAAATAAACCAAGTTATATTTCTTACATTAACTGTGACATACTATATCTATATTCTTATTTAAATTATAAGATGGAGTGCATTCTTGGTACCTTTCTTCAAATCAGCCATTTTGGCATAAAGAAAAGTGCCTCGTGCTTACAGAATAATACAGATGATTGACAGTATTTAATGGCTTCCTTCTGGCTTTAAAATCTATGACTTTGTGCATCTAGGCAACTATATTCACCAGAAAAAGGGACAGAAGGCCCAGGTCCTTAGTGTTATTTAGGGACCCAATCAATGATTTCTACAGGAGTTAGACACATGGGCCACATCCCCACAAGAGGGAATGTGTTTTTTGTGATGCCTCAAAGCCTTTAGAGATGCTGTGAAATGCATATGTCACTCATGATTTTATTTGTCACGCTGCATATTTGCAGTGCGGCAGCAAGTTTAGCTACTGGGAAATCCCAGCATCCAAAACACCCACAGCAGAAAAAAGCAGGCTGGTACAATATGGCTGCAGTGTGTGCTGCATGCTCTGGCTGCTGGCCAGGCTCCATGTGCTTGGATCCATGTGTCCCAGGAGGCCGCCAGGCCCAGGTGCTGGCCCCAGCCTTCGCTACTCCACCCAGGGCAATTTGTTGTGTGCCAGAGTGTGCCTGCAGGGACAAGTAGCAGTGGTACACGTACGTGCTGCTATTATTTGTCCCTGGGGAAGTGCACATTCCTGCTTGTGGGGACCTGCCCATGGGCCCTAAGGCTCATCAGTGCTTTTTGACTATCCTATTATAATTGTTAATACAGGATAATATTGAAAGACACTGAGTGAAATCTTATCTCCATGGAAGTCAATGGGGCTTTTGTCATTGACTTCAGTGATGTCATGCTAGTGCCCAATGGGAAAGCTGCCCAAGTAAAATAAGGAGAGTGCATACACTATATTCAATACTAAGTATTTATGGCTGTCAATCTGGTGTTTTACAACAGCCACTAGGGCTAGGGACAAACATTTAAAAAGCCTGAGCCTGAATTGATTCAATCTTTGCAGGTTAGTCTAACCTGGCTAAACTAAATTAGTTTTGTAACTGGACAGACATCCCAGAAATGCAGGCACATGCTTGCAGTGGCTCAGGCTAGAAGCTGGGGGGTGCTAGAGCAGCCCTCCCTTCCCTTCCACAGTGTTGAACTGAGGGGGGTGTTTCCAGGCCCCGGCAGGACACTCTGATTATTCCCCCCCTCCTAAACAGCCCAGCAGGGAATGTTTATCACCCCTAACTCAGTGTTTATCAACCCATTTAGAAAACAAATCCTCTCTCCATTAACTAAAGGAACTCTTCTTAAACAGCTCTTCCAAGGAAGGATATTAAGCTACCTGTTGATTAGCTCCAAAAAGCTTGTCTGCCTGTTGTCTCCCACATCATGGACCTTAGCTAGCATGTGGTCTGCTAGTTAATGCTGAGGCATCTGTGTAAGGCAGAGAGCATGCTGGGATGCTGGGGGTGTCTGGTTTAACTTAAACCAGCAAGGGGTCTGGGACAGACATTGCATAAACTGGTTTGACCCAAATTAGTTAAGTCTGATACTACATGCAACCAGGTTTATTTCAAACCAGTTTCATCCATTTTCAAACTGGTTTAATGTGCACATCTGTTCTGTTACAGGTTTAAACCAGTTTCTGATCACTTTAACCGGTTTATATGTAATGTCTGTCCCTAGCCTAGAAGAAAAGCAATATGGGCCAGACAGAAATCATATCCCCATTTACTGATATGTATTACTGAAAATAGCTTAGATTATTTAAATCTCAGTCAGGTGCAGAGGTTTTATCATCTCTTATCTTGGAGGAACAGGGACATTATGCAAGAGTGGTTCATCTTCACTTGTTTTCATTTCACAAATGCCCTTGAGACATCTGCTATCATATCCACTTACCACTTCCTGTAGCTGAAAACATATCTGCATTTTTCACAAAACCACAACTACATTCTCTCCAACTTAACCACAGCAATCTTAGCAACAAGACCACCAGATTCTGAATAGATAAAGTGGGATGGTTTATACACACCCCAGCCATGACGACAGTTAGGGCAGTACATATTTTTAATTACAGGAAATGGGAGGAAGAAGGGTCCTCCTGAGTGTTTTATTGTAATTTAAGTAGCCTGCCAACATGGAAGGAGCTGGAAGGGATGCTGGAGGTTATAAGGAGTTTCAGTTCAACTGCAAACCCATATATCTGAGCCCTAGAACATAGCATGGGAGAAGGGCAGTCAGTCGTAATGGCAGAAGCAGGGAGCAGAAGACAGCTCTTTTCAGTCTCTGTTTTTTTTCTCATTGTTATCAGATTGTGATTGCATGGTAGTAGCTTATTTTGCAAATGACTTGTTGCTTTCTATCTTAAGTTTTAAATTTGCCTCCTCTGTGATGGTAAACCTCAGACTGGATAAACACAGCTATGCATGCCATGAGAAGGCTCTTTCGGTTTGGAAACTTCTGTGTCTTTAGTGTCTTTAGCCAAATCATGTGTTTCCTGAGCATATTTCTTTTAAAACTTTGAAATTCCCTTTTCCCTTATGAGGAGACATGTATGCATTTTTTGGTTGGTATTACAGTGCCACACAAAACCTCCATCACATCACACATTGTGAATGTTTGATTGATGTCTACTTTACTGACACATTTGACTTCCTTCTTGCTCTCAAACAACTTTGTAATCAACCTCCATGCTGGCACTGATAACTGAGCTATGCATAGCTCTCGGTATTGTGTGTTCTTATGCCTCCTACATAACTTTGTTACATTTAGTGGAGTCACCTGGGATATAGATCAGCAGAAGGCCCAGTAAAAGAAATGACATTATCTTATGCCAGTTTCACTGAAATGAAAATCTGTCGCATTAATAGGATTTCGATTTTCACTAGCCAAATGGCTACTGCAGCCCTTTAAAAATCATTTCCTGTTTTAATCCATAGTACCACTGATTTTCTCTCTCTGCTGCTCTCGGAAGACTGCATGGGCCAGCGCAGAGTGAATAAAATGGGTGCTGGTTTGAATTTTCTGTGCCAGAAAATATGTAGTAACACTGTCATTCTTAAGAGAGTTCTGCTCCAGCATGTTTAGACAGAAGACAAAGTATAGCACATGCATGCATTTGTCATCTTGCCCTGATCTCAAACAACATTGGCTCTGTTGTCAACTGTGAGAAAAGAAGGAAAAAAAAAAAACCCTTGGAGGGGAGCCACACACTTATTTTTTCTCAGGTCTCCAACAAGCGTGTTGACTGTGTATGATCCCTGCTTGAAGAAAACAGACGGGAGCATCAGTGGAGCTCAGCAAATGATTTCCCTAACACTCATTAAACTTGCAATGCTCAAATAGGCAAGGGGAAAGCTACCTGTGATCACACTGAGCCTGCGTTCATGAGACAGTCCTACTACCTCTCATCTCCGAGGATTTGGTTCTTCTGCCAGCCCTTTCAAGTAGGGAGCATCTATTGTCATCGTAGTTGGTACCAAATCAAAGCATTAGTCCCACATGGGGCTTGCCCTCCCACAAGTAGGATGTGGCAGGAAACAGGCTCTTGTCATTCCCTGTCCCCAAGGAGGCTTCTCCAACAGTGTAAGCTGGAAGGCTGCTCTTCCTCCCAAGCCAGCACCCATCTCAGCAGGAGGCTAAGCCCCCTTTTCGTCTCTCCCTCCACACCCACCCCCTGCGGCATATGCAATCAGGGCAGAGCTGATTAAACCTACAGTAGCTTGCAAATCTTTTCCTGGATATTTTGGGTTTCTATGCCCTCATCACTCTGCTGACCACATCTTATGTATAAGTTTTCTGTCCTGTGGAGTGGGTTAAATCGAGTACAGATGAAGCATGGGATATAAAAACAGGACCCAGAAGATGGCACTGTATGGAAAACTAATGCCTCATAACAGCTCGGAGACCATTCCCTTTTCCTGTTGGGAAACAGTCTTACTTTTGACTATGCCTGTGATTGCCCTTTGAGGACTGCACAAGTACCAGGTGGCTGACTGCAGTGATTCTTTGCTTTGCAGGGTGCCTCACCTCTCTCTCCTTCTCTTTCTCTGTTAATTATTTTTAGCTGGTTGTGGCAGCAGGTGTGAATAAGCAGCTCCTGCTGTCAAACCTTCTCTGACCTAAGGAGGCATTTCTCTCTAGTCCACCTTCTTGGTAGATGGTGCCCAAGTCTGCAGTGCAGAGGTAGACTCTGGCTTTGCTACAGCTTGCTGTTGTAATACAAGGATGGTGGGAAAGCTGGAGGAAGGGCTTTGAAGACCAGGTAGTCTTTCCACCACCCTCCCAGCACCCTTCAAACTTCCACTTTACAAAGGTTTAGTATCAAGCCTCATCTTCCCTACAGTCCACTCTGATTTATTGCCTTACGAGAAATGCACACCAAAAAGGACAAGCGGCTCATAAAAGATGTGGTGTTTTCTTACATCGCTGGCTGTTTATAATGTAGAGTTACATAGCTGGGTGTGTTTTATTGACATTTCTCTACATCTACACTGAAGCAAAATGAAAAGCCTTCAAAAGTGTTATGCTTCCATTTCAGGCTAACCAATACATTTCCCCCTTGACTTTTATTTCTCATGGATACCATAATAAAAATATTTGCTGAAACACAACAAAAAGCAACCCCAAAACCCAGTTTTGCTTTTCTCTCATCCTCTCTGCTTCTTTCATTTTGAGACACAAACCTGGGTACTTAAATATACTGTTTCAGTGATTCTGCTTTTCTTTGTCCCTTCTTATCAAGAGCTCTGTTTGTCTAAGGGTCTGAAGGGCCATCAGCTAATGGCTAATCAGTTCAATTCTGGATCATCAGTCTGAATCTCACCCAGATGTGTTGCAGCAAGGAATTAAATGGCTGTTTCAGTATTCCTTATTTGAAAAACTGATGGTCAGAGCTAAGGGGCATTTACAGATACTCATGAGGCTAACACCCAAAACACACTAGAATATTCAGAAGTCAAAATACTTTAAAAAGGGAAATGTGGTATCTTAATGCCCTGCAGCAAACATGCACCAAGAGACGTGATAAGTTAGGAAGAAGTCTGCAGTGGACATAGGTATCTATCCACGTCAACTCCTAAGAAGGGCATCTGATCCACTCTGCGAGAAGCAGTTTCCCAAATGGTTTATGCCACTACCAAATGGTGCATTTTACCAACCCACTTGCTGTTTAAACCAATGTAGCTGCAATTTAGAGAAGAATGAAAATTGCTTAATGCTGATGTGGCTGATAGGACTAGAAGGCATCTAGCAGTTAAGTCATATCCTTATTTTCTTTAAAAGGTGAAAAACATTTATCTCAGATGCAATTTTGATTAATCATTTTATGACCTAGCATATCATTTCCCCCAAACATTTGGTACTCTGTTACAGCTAACAGTCAAAGGAGGAAAAAAAAATAGCTCTCTCCACCCTTTCTGCATGCATAAAAAGGTCTGAAAGGATTTTTCCCCACATCAGCAATTCAGCCCGCATCTAAAATGGAAGGCTACTGATAATCACAAGTGCTCCATTTCTAAAGATCAGACCATGCAAGGGCTGATCTGTGCAAGAGACCCTTATGTCCACTGCAGTTGCAGTCTACATAGAGCCCAAAGGGTGTGCAACCCAACGGACAAGCTCTTTTCATGCCACTTAATGAGAAGCAAAAGAAATCCTTGGGGAATGCAACTGCCAGAAGCCAGATATAAAGACTGTGCAGTTACAGCCTAAACTTTTAGGTTTAGAAAGGTTGGATGGGATAAACATGCAGCCAACTGGCTTCTTAGTGGCAGAACCTGCCTTTAAAATGTTGGGATTTTTTACGTGCAAACAATACAAAGCTGCCCATCTCCTCTCAGTCCTTTCTTAGCCTAAGCCCCAAGGAAAATAGAAATGCTAAGCTTTCTTCCTTTCATGCTTTAGGGTTATCCTCATTAACACTGCAATTAACCTGAGGTGAGGCCAGCCCTGTTCCTGCTCTGCGGAAAGGCAAACACCTGTGGGAAGTTCTCTGGGAAGAGGGAACATGGTTCAACCCTTTCTGTGCTGGCTCAGGGACTGCAACCCTGTCAAATTCAACTGCAGTTTGATTCAGACCCATCTCCCTTATCCATGGTATTTTTTTCCTTCTTTTTACTTCTCCTCAAACACCAGCCTCCTGGGCTTCCCAGGCACAGCAGCTTTATATATATACATAGATATATATATATTTTTATATATATACATATACATATATACATACACACACACACACACACACATATATATATAGATAGATAGATAGATAGCATCACTCCTGATTAATACTTAAGTAAGGGAGAGGAAATTTAGGCTCTTTGGGTTTGGTCCCCTTGCTTTTTAACCCTGGAGTTTCTGGTTCTGTCACCTTTCAGGAGTGCCCATAATAAGGGACACTGGTGCACTTTGCAAAAAAAAAAACCCCACGTGACCTTGGGATTATACAAGAATCAAACTTTCTTTTGTCTCCTCATCCAGGTGTCTGCATGTCTGCAGCAGGGAATCTGGCCAGCTCTCAGCAGCCGCCTTTCCTCTAAGAATTGCAGACTGAAGCAAATTCCCAGCTTATTAAAAAATAGTTTTGTTATTTTGCCATCTTGTTTATTTTGCAGTTCCATGGAGCTCTTCAACCTGCTTCCTTTCTCCTAATTTTGCCTCTGGCTTTTTTAAAAGTTGAAAAAAAAATAAAGTTGTTTCTTTTTCTCAAGTTTTTGAGCATCATAGAGTGCTCCACTGCCCTTCTGTAATGATGGAGAGGAGCCCCAGTGTCCTTGAGAAACAAGGGCAGCGTTGGTGACGCGTAGGGGGTGCACACGGATGCCCATGCACCCTCTGAGCTTGGTGGTGCACCCCTTACAGAAAGGTAACGCTGCTGGAGGTGCCTGCAGGTGGTCGCCGCTTGCCACTCGCTGCCCTTGCCATCGACACTGCCGGCGGTGTCTGAGGGCAGTCCCCGATCACTGCTAGCCACCGCTGACACTGCTGGCGGCATCTGCAGGTGGTTGCTGACCACCAGTCAGTGCTTGCTCCCCACCTCTGCTGCTGCCAGCACCGTGGCCACCTGCAGGAGCTCACCATTTGCCACTGCCACACTCCCACCACCCACAGCATTGCTGGTGCCTGTGGAAGCTCGCCGTGCCCCCCCCAGCCTCCAGGAGCATGCAGCATTCATGAAGGCTAGGCCTGACTGAAGGAGAGAAGGCCCAGTGCTCTACTGGATTTATTCACTGAGGGCGCTTGTACACGAGCGTGGAGGCTGCTCCAATGCGCTATAATTACAGCACCGCAGAGCAGACTCAGTTAATTGAGTCTGCTGCAGTGCGGTAATTACTGTGCTCCAGCCAGCCTCCATATCTCATGTATCAGTGTCCCTGTGCTTCAAAATGGCGGTGGCTCAAGCTTTAGATCATGCCCCCTCACCGCCATTTTGAAGCGCGGGGACGCTGATACACATGACGCTGCAGTGCTTTAACTAGAGCAGCTCTTGGAGCTGCCCTAATGAAAGCACCACCCTTCCCCTCCCCACCACCTCCAGAGCACATGTAAAAGTGCCCTAAGGGTTTAGCTGCACAGGGACACTTAAATGAGTTAATTCAAATGAACTGAACATGAAGAATTTAAAGTAGATTAGTTATAGTGCATTAAGCCAGTGTGAGGAATCATTTTGTTTAGAATTAAAGTGGTCTTAATTCAACTTAACTTCCACTAATTTCCTGACTATCCTCATATAGATTAGCCTTGAGTCTTGCAATCCTCCGGTAGGTGTCTTTCCTTGTATTAGAACTGCAGGCAGTTTTTCTTGCTTTTCAAGTTGAAAACCAGTTGACCTGAGATCCAGAAACATGCTACTTGGCACTAAAGCAAAATGCAGAGTACAATGAACTAGCCAGGCAGAATGGCCTACTGAACCTCTAAACTGACTGTCTTCATTTTTTGTTTAAATTATGCAATCTCCTTTTTAATTCTGAGGAACACAGCATGGGATGCAGAATAGTTCGTACCCTTCGAATGCTGAATAAGAAGGATACATGTAAAATATATATATTTTTAAGTGTACTTGGGAAGGATTCCTCGAATAAAGGAAAGGCCAATGTGAAATTTGATCATTAATCACAAAAATGGCACAGAGCCTCCCCTCTTCAGCAAATATAACTGTTGTGTAGTTATTTGCAGTTTCATTTAACTGAGTTTTGCAACTTCGTTTCGCAACTTTGCTTTCTCTTACTTTTCGATTTTCAAGATTCCAGTTGCCTACTTGTTTTCAAATTCTAGTTAGGCTTCTGAATGTAGATCTTTGTATTCCCCTAATTCTAGCTTTTCATAACCATTCCCCATACCACATATCTTTACTGCCCCAAGCTAGGAGATTTGAACAGCACATCCAGTGATATTGTTTGAATAAGAGAGTTACACCTCCCAATCATAACACATTCTTATCCTTTTACATAATGCACTGAGCCAACAGCCTGATTCAATCATTGACAGTCTTTGGCATCTCTTCCTTTCACAATCAGCTATGGTTTTTAATTCTGTATCCATTAAGGCCTTTGCATTTTTCCTACTATATCTTAACATAGCCACAAAGATTCTTGTCAGTCAACTGGTTGACAACGCTGTTTTGGTAAACTTTTCAACCTATCTGAAATGCTATAACTTGAACAGGAGGGAAGCACGTCATTCTGTCCTAATGGTCCAAATGAATTAAGCATACAGCTGGAAATCCAAATGTGTATGAAGGAAGGAAAAGCCCAAAAGGTTTCTACCAAGAAGTATGATGTCATCTTGATCATAGCCTATTTCTGGAAGCCCATGATACGTTTTGACACATAAATGTTGCCAAGTAAAACTGATAATATAGAATTGTTAATATGCTTACAGCTGAATGTTTTTCAGATAAGGAGTTAAACTCTTATAGGCAAAATAGTATTTGCGGAACGTAGCACCTAGTTGTTTCTATGCTTTCATTGGCTCTGGGACTATTTCCTATCATATTTAAATAGAGAGACTAGATTATTGGGTACCTTAAGAACAATGGGTTGCTTAATGGTCTTACGGTGCTTATCTTATGTCAATACAAAAGATTTGCGTTCCTAAGGCTATGTCAAGGGCAGTGAAACAAGGGCTACATTCAGGGAAATGGGCATTTGTTTATTCTTAAATGCCCATTTAAGTATCTTTTTTTGGGTCTTGAACATGCCTACACAATGCAGTTAAACACAGATAATTTTTCAAGAAATGGTGCCCGCAGGGGAAGTTAAACCTGAGCGAAAATAATAAAGGTTATTATGCCTAATTTATTTTAGATAAGAGCAAGGGTAAAACTGCTTCCTCATCTCTTTGTCATGGCAAAAATTCTCCGACAATAACCTTCCCTTTTGTACAGCATCCTTCACGTGAGCTCTACTCCTGAAAGCTTTACCGGGCTCCATAACACAATTACTCTTAATTACAGGGTTATTAAGAGTAAGTAATACCAAAGAAAAAGACATGCTGAGAGGGGCACAGGTAAGGAAGAAAAGGAAAGTGTTTGACAGTGATTAGAAATGCAGTGGAGAAAGGCTGGAGCCAAAAGACATGAGAAGGCTGCTATGCATAGCAGCTGTATGGGAGTCGTCTCTCAGACCTGGAGTGCCCAGACTGCGGGGAGACACAGCGGAGAGCCAAAGGAGAAAAGGCCAAGATTTTAAAAGAATTCAGATATTGCTCTCTCTGTGTTACAACACTCAAGGGCCAGATTCTTACTGATGTGTAACTGCCGTATGATGCAGGTAGGTGTTTTTTAGGATTTTCAAGAGTTTAAGCACCTATCATCTATTGAGTTTGGCACCTTCATACGTCTGAATATCCCACCTTTAAAGTCTGGGCCTAAGATGAAAAGTCAGCCCTGTAAGTAGACGCAGGTCCATTGACCTCACTGGAGTTGTAGCTGTTTTCAGGTAGGGCTGAATTTGTCCCATCATATTAAAAAAAAAAAAGGGGTATGGCTAGGTGTATCCTCTTAATATTGATGTGCAGCTGCTGATGTGTTATCACCCGAAAGCCCCCTGCTCTGCAGTCCAGTGCACATCAGTGGACCCATGGGCCCCACTGGCCAAACTGGGGTTGGGTAAGGAGGCGGAAGCATCTTTCACATGAATCTGACTGCAGCATTCGTTTGCAGTGCTCAGGGGTGGATAGATAAGTATGGGCCGATTCTCCTCGGTGTAACAAGTCATTCCAATCTGAGTCTCCAGAAGGCAATCTGCATCTGGGGTTAGCCGGTTTGAGGGCGGGGGCTGGGCAATTGCATGTTGGTTGTTCTTCATTAGCCAGGCTCCAGGCAAAGTTTAGGGTCCCCTGAGGACAAGCACATTGTCCTTCATTCCTTGATGTACAGTACTACACCCGCTCGCCACCCTGGCTCCTAACCTGGCACTCAGTCGCACCGAGGTTCCTTACCAGAAGCAGAAGGCGCCCCATCACTTCTGGCCTGTGTACTGACATATCCTTTGCCTTTTCTCTCCGGTAGGGATTCCCAAACAAAGGGTCACAGGCTGAATGTAAGCATGACAGTGGGATGCCAGAAAAAAACAAATGATTCTTCCTTATCCAAGATACAGTATTAATTCCAGCTGAATGGCTAGAAGATCCATCAACGCCGCCAGGTCATCTCAGTCCTGCCCTAAGCTTTATCTTATATAGAGCTGCTGTTTTTAAATCACTTTAAAAATGACCTGGCTTTAACTACAGGGCAGCTTCCCCTGCTTGAGCTTAGATCTGTAAGCAATCAGTCACTGGGTTTACAAGGTACAATTACATCCACTTGCTTTAGCAAGCATATTGCCTGCTGGCGTCTTGCCCAATGCGAGAGGCAAGCCACTCCAGACCAACCCATTCCTGAGATGCTGAGTCTATTTGTTATGCACAACATTATCTCAGGGATTACAGAATGGCAACTGGGCTGTTTGTATTCATTAGTGGAAGGAGGAAGCCCATCTAGTGGTACGAGCCTTGTCCTGGGTGTGAGCAAACAGTCAGAATTGACACACGAGAGGTTTTATTGTGAAAATCTATTTGGCTTGCGGGGATTCGCTCCCTTTGGTGTTTGTTCACTCAAGTGTTCACAGAAAGGCTGTTTTTCCACAACTGCCGTACGAGAAGGCTATTTGCATATAAATAAAAATAGCTGGTATGCATTGTTCAGATGTCTAATGTTTACGGAGGCCCAGTGGGAAAGCAGAACGAGTATCGTGATGATTTTTGGTCCCTGGCACTGGGATATCTGAAGATAACTGGCTCCTAGAGTTTGCTCTTTGTGACGCACCATTATTATTAGCTCTTTTGTATGGATGGGGAAGTGGGACAAAGAAATGTGCAATTACTTGCCCAAGATCACATGGGAAGCCTGTGCACAGACGGGAATCCCACTCATGGCATCTGAATCACAGTAGTAAAAGTTAGAACCAAAAAGTCCTCCGAATGAGAGGCAGTAAGCAGCAGGGACTCAAAGACAGAGCTGCTTCAGTGACTTGGAAACACGAGTCCTCTTCCCAAAAGAAAGATAGGCATTTAAAATGGGAAGTCCTTACTTAAAATTACATTACCATAACCG